AGTATAGTAATAAATGTCATTAATTCTTGGATATTTTTCAATTTTTAAATAAAATGGCAATCGTTCATAAAATAAAAAGCAATCTGCTTTAAATATATTATTTGTTTGATTGTTTAAATATAGTAAAGTCTGACCTAAAAAAACGTGGCCTTCCTATTCTTATTGTATAACATTTTACTTCTCTAGCAGCTGCTTGTAAATCTTGAAAGAAGCGTGCACGTGAAACGTAGGATAGACGAACTTTAAAGAAGTCTTCAAGAGCCAATTAAATCGTTATTTGCAAATTAAGTTTCGTAATTATGAGTGGGCTTCGGGAAGTAGTCCCGACATAGAAGGGTTGGTTGGTTAGTTGGTTGGTGGTTGGCGATTGCAACCGACGTAACTCGAACAACTTCGCAACTTCTCAGTCGCTTTTGTACAACTTTTCTTAGTTAAGGTCGCGATTATATAAATTTTTTATCATAGCCAAGTATTTGCGACAGACGTATGTAATTGTATATAATCGCAATTTCTATATAGAGAATTTAAAAAATTTATAAAATTATACTAGTGACTATCGTGTACACATAATTTTAAGATAAATTATATTTGAAATATTGAAATTACGAGTTGCTGCTAGAAAAATCGTTTTTATTTATTTTTTATTATAATTATATACGTTATGTAATATACGTGTTTAACCCGTAAAGGCTATATGTCTTTTTTGAATGGTTTTGTTTAATACGAAGTTTTAAAAACAATTACGTTCTTTTTTCGAAAATTTAATATTACCAATCGATTGGTCAGAAAATTTTACATTGAGAAACACACATTTTGTTTTAATTTTTCTTTTTATTTTCAAAAGATATAAAACTTTTGGTGCGAATTCGCACCCAGGTTAATTGTAACGAAATTTTAAAATTGTATGTATGTATTTTGTGCCATGCAAAATCGAAATTTGAACGTCTTTCCTAAGAGCATCAGTTCTAATCATGCTCATTAGTGACGTGATAAAATTTATCGCCACAAATGTTTTTAATCCGTTAGAAATAAATTCGATTAATCATATAAGTTTCAGCACGTGATATATCTACGAAAATTCTACTTACAAAGGAGACGTGATATAATGTTTAAAAAATCTATTTTCCATGCATTTCTGGGATATAAAACTATTATTACTATTACATGTGGGTCACAAACAACTTTTTGCAGATAACGAGGCTAAAAATCGGACTTTTTTAACGTCCTCCTTTGTGTTGAATTTAACACATTTCACATGTTCCAAATGATTTACTTAATTTTTTGTCTTAATTTAACGTAAGATGAATATATTAGAAAATAATATAAATATTATAAAAAAATATGTAACACTGATTTGTAAGCTACTTTGACTACAATTTGTAAGCAAACTGTGAAAGCATATTTTTTCAATAAAATTAACATTTATGATGTTAAATTAACACGTATTTTATTCATTTATATTAAAATATATGTTTTAAAACACATTACTTTTATGTTATTTGTTCATTAACTCATAAATTGTGTTATTTTTATATTAAAAAATGTTGGATATCAATTTAACACTAAATAACATAACCACATTATGTTAAATTAATCCTCGAATATGTTAAAAGTGTTAGCACAAAATTTTAACAAAAACTTGAGTGGACCGTTTCTAACACAAACGCAAAATGTTTTTTACTGTGTAATTTAGTCTTTCGGAAACTAATATCCAAATTATTATCCAAATTATTATTGAGTAATTAAAATGACAGAATTTTAGTAATAACTTTAGTAGTAATTTTAGTAGCAATTGTTTTGAACAATTTGAACATTGTATTACTCGAGATATTTATAGCGCTAAAATTACACATTACGTAAGATTACATAAAAGAACGCCTATAGAACTATATGGTGTATCCGCTACTCATTGATAAAGCACTCGTGGGCAGACGAGAGACTAGAGTGGGCCAAACTAAACAAAAAAGTCCTATACCATTTTGCGATCTTCGCAATAGTTTTTGAGATATTAATTTATAAAGATCGCCGAATCTGAACGCGCGGCGAGATACGCCCGCCCGCCGCGGACCGCGGTCGCCTAGCGCGCGGCGCGTGTTGGGAGTAATTGATTGTCTAGCGCGCGGCTATGGATTATCCCCTGCACCTTGCGCCGTGTGCTAGGCGATCGCGTAGTGGCATATCTAAATCAATTACCCCCACCACGCGCCGCGCGCTAGGCGATTGCGGTCCACGGCGGGCGAGCGTATCTCGCCGCGCATTCAGATTCGGCGATCTTTATAAATTAATATCTCGATAATTATTGCGAAGATCGCAAAATGATAGAGAACTTTTTTTATTCAGTTTGGCCCACTCTATCTGCTCACGAGCGCTTTACTATTGAGTAGCGGTCACCCTGTATAAATGCAAAAGATACTCAACTACTTACTATATTATTTTAAATAATTTCGTATTAATAAAACAAATAATATTATATACTTGTAAAAAATGCGACATTAATCATTAAACGTGTATGTTCGTTCAACTGTTATAGTTTATTTGAGACATTAAGAATGCTGATGTTGTTTTCAGAAGTTTATTTCAGATTCGGCGTTCAAAAAACTACGGGAAATACTAGTCTTGATATGATGTCTTTTTTTTATTGAAATGTATTATTGAATATTTAAATAGTAAGATTTAAATGCTTGATTAATTAAATGTTAGAATAGATTTGAATATTATAACTTTCAGAAATTGGCAAAATATAATTTGGTTTAATATAAATAATTATTCTACATCAATTAATGCAAATGATAAAACTGACAGACAAGAAGAATGCAAATCAAATATGAACCATTATGATCAATATTTATGCAAAGCAAGCTATTTACGTTAAAGAAACGTCCAACAAACACATTTTTATTATGCATAAAACGTTAAATGAAGAATATTAACGTTAAAAGCAGATATGTTCATTAAATTGTCGAAATGCCTTGCATAAAAACAATTTTTAACTAATAAAAAAATAGATGTTATAAAAATTTTACTATACAAAAATGTTTATAATTCATTAAATTTAACAAACGCATCGAATTTTAAAAGCTCATAGTTCCCTTATATGTTTATTATACAATTTTTAACATTTATTAAACGTATTTTGATTGTCACTGTGTTGCTTGGGACTTGGGATATGTCTAGATTAATAGTGATTTAAATATATTATCCACCACACTCTTTAAAAAATGCTTTTTAAAAATGCGTCGATTTTGTTTATTCCACAAATTATCATTTGAAATAATAAAAATATAATATTTATAAACATATTTCGTCAATAGCTTTTTAATTGTACAATTCGAATATACTGTATAATTCCTTTTATAAATTTACATAATGTACTTTACATAAGATAAGAAAATACATACTAACAAAATACATAAATACATAAATAAATAAATACATAAATATATAAATACATAAATAAATACAGTACATAATACATACTAGATATATAAATTCATCTAAGGGTTTTTATACAAAATATAACAAAATATCTAATTTTACTAAACTATAAGAATCCTTAACTGTAGATAATTTTGTCACATTATGTTTTGCAATAAAACATTCCTTTCTGATAGATAATAGTATGAATAAACAAATTTTTTAATTATGTTCCAATAACACTAATATTTATATAATATTATCAGATTATTATTACTATATTCATGTAATATTATTAGAACATAAATATTCAAATTATCCAAATAATTAAAATATCCGAATTTAAATAAAATTCAATATTTTAAATAATTTGAATACTATATTACTCGGATATTTATACCTTTAATATAAATACGTATTACGTAAGTGCATAATGAAAAGTAACGGTTATCAAAATGCAAAAAGATTTCAATTATTTGCAATGTTATATGTATATTAATATATGTAAGTAATTATATATCATAACAAATAATTGTTTAAATGTTTATAGAAAAGTTGATATTTTCGTCGTCAAATGCATATGTTTGTTAATCAATTACAGATTTAGAACATCAAGACTACTATACTAATGTTGTTATCAAAAATTTATTAAAATTTATTAAAAATTTACTAAAATCCAGAACTCTGCTGTAAACATATCTAACGAAATAGAGTATCTATGTGAATAAGATATAACTAATAGATTAATAAGATAATAACGTAAATTTGTGCACAGTTTTTCAATCGAGAACATAATTTTATATGTTATTTCATAGTACATGATGTTATTTTATAAACGTATTTAAATTAGTTCTGTGATCACATTTTAATATTGTACGTATTTGTTTGCGCTATTTCCTCAAATATTTCTTTCAATTTTCACAGTTTTTTCATCATTTTCCTTGATTATCTAAAAATCTTGACAAGCAAAACGGTTACGAATTCGGATTCAGTAACACAGAATTAATCAATAAGAAACACTTACTTTAGTTTGAATATATTTTTAAAAATATTTTTGTCGTCCTGTAATGCAATAATAAAATAGAATGTAAATTTGTGAAATTAGAACGACACAATTCAAATCGAGTATATTATTTTATGAACAGTCCGACACAAAAACTGATTATTATTAAATATTTTAAATATCGAATCTCTAGACTCAATGAAATATCACGAATGCTTATTGTAAGTAAATAAATATAAAAATTTACGTAAATCAAATGCACATCTTGAGTATTTAAATTACAAATATTTATGATAATAAATTTCCATTATCGAACCTTTATTTCGATTAATTGTAAGTAGGAATATTTAACTCAATTAATTATGGCATTTATAAAATATATATTTTAATTTCAAAGTCAATTATTTTATACTTCTTATAATAAACAAATTCTAAATATCCGATTTCATACATGTTTGCTGTGTATGCATGTATTTGATCATTTGATAAAAGATAAAGTATATGTATAAATTTAACATTGTAAATGCTCTTGATTTCTTACTGGTTGCGGATCTGATGAAAAAATGCGCCCGCGTTACTTTCTTCAGTGATTGACTGATTCATTGTTACGTTTGTGTAATTTTCCCCAGTATTTTCTTGAGATTTTTTCGTTTATGCCGTGTTTGAGCAAGTGATTTGTAAAGGAATCTACTTTAACCATGTTATATATTTTACAGCAAATCTTGCATTTAATCTCACGATTTGATATGCTCAATGTGAAATGTTGTGATACCCACATATGTTCTATTTTTTTTCCTATTTCTTTCATTATTTGTGGGTGTACAGATATTATGTGTTGCTCTAAATTGTATTCATTATATCCATTCGAAAGCACTTTGTTACAAAGCTTACATGTTGGAGTATACCTTTCTTCTTCTGTAAAATATTGCCAAATCAAGTTGCTTCGATCGACGTCTTCATCATGATATATTCCATGTTCACGAAATAAGTGTTCTCTCGTGAGTAAATAACTATCAGTATCACGATCACAAATATTGCATTTTCTGCTATCGTTTTGTCCAACTCTAGTGCAATATTTCCATATCCAACTTTCTTGCATATTCTTCTCCTGTGGTGTTACGTCCGCACCGTATCTTAAATTACATACATATTTTAAATATCATAAGTATTTTATTATAAAATATTTTATAACTTTATGATAAACGAATTCTAAATATTTTATTTTTTACATGCTTGTTGTATATGTGCGTGCGTGCGTGCGTATGTGCAATCTGCAGAAAGATAAAACATAAATATTCATAAATTTACATTTTTAAATCCTTCGAGTTTTCTGGATCTTTCAAATATGTAGAAGTATGATGACAAGATGCATCGACGTTATTTTCTTCCGTTAATGATTGATTTATTGTTACGTTTATGTTATTTCCCACAGTATTTTCTTCAAGTTTTTCTTCTATGCCATGTCTAAGCAAGTGTCTCACTAAGCTGTCTACTTTAAACATGCTATGCCTACTACTGCAAATCTTGCATTTAATTATTTGACTTGCTGTGCCAAATTCAAAATGTTGTGATACCATATGTGATACATATGTTCTACTTCTTTTCGTATTTCTTTCATTATTTGCGGATGTGCAGATATCAAGTGTTTTTCTAAATTATATTCTTTATATCCATATAAAAGTACTTTATCACAGAGCTTACATATTGGAGCATATCTTTCTTTTTCTGTAAAATGTCGCCGTACCAAGTTGCTTCGGTCAACGTCTTCGTCATGAAATATTCCATGTTCACGATATAAGTGTACTTTCATGTATAAATCATGTGTATTAACACAGTGACAAATATTGCATTCGCGCTTATGCCCTACTTTAGTACAATATTTCCGTATCCAATTTTCTTCCTTATTCGTCTGCTCTGTCATTATTCGTCCGCACAGTACCTTAGAAAGTATATTACTAAATAGCCATAACGTATGTGTCAAGACGAAATGTTTGAGAAAGGTCGATGCGTAACGCGTGAATCTTTATTCGAATGTTATTGTTGATACATACTTTGGGAATTACATAGTCGAATCTCGATAACACCATGCTCGATAACTCGAATCTCAAGAGACTAGAAAAATTATTCGAGTTATAGAGTTTTCGACTTATCGAAATTCGAGTAAAAGAGGGTTAACATGTGAAAATTCGATTTACGGAGGCTTTATATGAGAGTTTATAATTTTCCAATTATAACGACTTTTAAAGGAAGAAAATCAATATTTAACTGATTATTTATTGCATACATATGATAAATGTAACCATAAAACAAAATACCAAGCTATTACTCACGGTTACACATAGCTACAACTTCGAATTATAGAGGTAGCGACAATGGAAGTTTGACTTATAGAGGTAAACTTCGACTTGTAGAGGTCTGGCTACTTTAAATTCAAGTTACAGAGGTAAAATGTATATCTAAATGCCTGACAAATAATTCGAGTTAAGGTAGGTTTTATTTCGATTTATAGAGATTTTCCGCAGTGAAGCGGAAGGGGATGAACAAAATTTTCGTCTTATAGAGGTTTTCGAGTTGTAGAGGTTCGAGTTATCGAGGTTCGACTGTATTTCCTTTTCCTCTCTTTTTGAAATTCAAAGGAAATGCAACTAGCAAAGCATCACGTCATGTCTAATTTTTAATTTCTATTAAAAGAAGAATAGATGTTAACAAAAATTAAACAAATTTTAACTTAGATAAAGTTAATAAGTTAAAATTAGAAATATATTTTACAAAATAATTAATTGAAGTTAAAAGTTAACTCATATGAAATTAATTAAATTAAGTTAAAAGTTATTAGTTTTTCGATCTTACTTAATTTTTAACTAATCAGGAGACACGATAGTGTCTCTCGTTAATTATTCAATTTTGATAACTGTTATTATATAGATATAAATAACTGAACTTTTTTGAATAACCGTATTTCTCGCTTGTTGAATTTGGTCGTGAAATTCCATTAGTAACCAATTTTTCGTCAATACTTACTCGATCAGAAAAATATAAATAAAAAATATAAATTCACAATAGGCAGACAACAAAATTCGTTCATTCATTGAAACCAAAGTAATTTATTGAAATAATAAAAAAGATAATTGATAAAATTAATAAAAACATTTTAATAAAGTCAACAAAAGATAAGTGCAGAAAGCAGTATAGATATTGAATATTATAAATTTATAATAGAGTCATTAAAATTTGATTAAATCTTATATATAGATGTTTTCATTATTATAAGATATTATTTTAAGATATCAATATTTTAACTTCTAGTAATATCAAGTTTTTTCATTAAATATCTGTTTATTTTAATATTTTTAATCATATTATTATTTTTCTTCGATCTTTTTACTTTATTGAAACTTATTTGGTTGTTCAACTTTTTTTACGAAGAATAGATTTAAATTAATGATAATATTGTAATTTTATATTAAGTATATTTCTAGTGCACGTAAATCTTTATAAAAGTCTTAATAAGTAAATCTTTATAAATTATAAGATTTACACTATAATATATGAAAGCACCAAAATTCGCTTTGTACCGTGTTGGCATTTATGATCTTAATTATTTTATAAAAGTGTTATAGTTAGTGCCAATATAACTTTTTAATATATATTCTCAGAAACGATCGTCAAATTTCATTAATAACCAATTTCGTTCGTAATAAATAGACTTGATGAAGGAAAGTAAATATTGGCTCAACAGATAAATTATAGAGTTTGTTTACGTGCTAGAACTTAAGAAATACATAAATTTGTGCGTCAAGAAAAAGTTAAACAACTTGAAAAAATTAATAGAAGTTAAAAAATAAGAAAGAAGAATCTGACGAAAAGATTGAAAAGATGGAATATTTAAATGTAGGAAGAAATTAATAGTAATACGCATGTACACATCTGTTAGAAAAGAAGAAAATAGGAAAAAATGAGAAAAATAAGATATTAGAAATATATGCGCGTAACGATATTTGCGAAATTCAATTTCCCGAACTATTTATTATTTTTCGTATCTTGTAACAGAAAAATGAAATTTCCTGTGAAGATATCGCTAGTTATTGTTATATTGGCGGTTGTAAATCACTTGAAACTTGTTAAAGTACACAGAGAAAAGCTATCGCAGCTGAAATCATAACCGCTCCGGATGAGAATAGATCTTCCGAAGTTTCTTCAAGTCCGGAAGAGCAACGAAGAGATAGGCACAATAACTGTCTGCCAAGTTGCTTATCGTACAGAGATATAATTTTATTGATAATTGTTAATTGTTATTAATACGATAATTGTTACAAATAGATAATAAGATGTAAGATATCCAAATAGAGCTTAAGCTAAGCTGGAAGCATGAGCTTAAAGGAAGCTCACATGAGCTTTCTGTGTTGTTATTATTAATTTATATACTTTTCCTTTATCTTTACGTTCAAACGTAATTACCTTGCAAATTAGCACATAAATCTGTTTGCATTTTATATTTGCAGTTTCGTATATTTTCGTATATGTTATTTTATTTTGTCAAGCATATCAAGTTGTTATGTAAATAATTAAACCATTTTAAACAGGCGTAATTTGTTCGAATGTATATATAGTCATGAGATTCCGTCAATAACCAGTTTTTTGTTAATATGTATTTATGAGATTAATAACCAGTTTTTTTACTATGTTTAATAAATCGGAGAGATAAATAGCAGATTCGCAACAGATAAACTGCAGAGTTTGTTTATTTACTAAAACCAAACGGTTTCGAAATAACAATACAATTTTAACAACATTACAAAAAATTTATAAAAATTCGATACAATTAACAAAAGATACATAGAAAGCTAATTGAGAAGAATTTCAAATATTTATAAAAGGAAAAACTAAAATTTAAGATAATTAGAAGAAAATACAATTTAGAAAAAAGATACATAACAGGCAACTTTTGAATTTTTACATTCCAATCTTTTTTATTATTTAAAGAATTAAAGAATTGGGTTTCGCAGTACCATTTAAAAAAGAAATTGCTCGTGAATATTTTACTGATAATCATGATTGACGGCCATTATAATTCCACCCCGATCCTGTCAAGAGGAGACATCGATAAATAAAACATCGATGAATGACACATCGAGAGATGCGCAGGCTTTTTACTTTTCAACCGTTTTGGTATGGCCAGTATTTTAGTTTTTCCGACCAGAAATGTTCTTACTTGTCTTGTGGGTCAGAGGAAGGATCAACGTGGAATATGTCGCGATATCATTAATTATAGTGTCAGGTAATCGATACTTTATAAAATTATATATTTATTTTTGTCTTACACACACGGTGTTTGGTAATATGGTAAACAAAATAGTACTGATTTTCAATACAGTAAAACAGTAAAAAATTGCATAAATTTTTTTTTATTAATATTTAATTACGCGTCACGTATTTTTCATTGCATTTTTTAACAATAAATATTTAAGTACCAAGATTCGCTTCAGATCGCATTTGGCATTATTAAAAATTTATTTATAGTTTATACTTTCGTGATTTCGATTAAGTTTCATATTAATGTTTTTTTAATAATAAATATTAATAATCTCATACTCTCAAGTAAAAATTTTGTTAAGATATAAAATATAAAATTTGTCACAAAATAGTTTTAATTATAAACATTAAAAACTATTTACGTTCCAATATCTTCAGCTGAGAACATTATTTGAATTCACAATGAATTAAAATTAGTCACAAAATAATTTTAATTATAAAACTTGAAAACTGTTTATGTTCCAACATCTTTAGCAGAGAAAATTATTTGAATTCTCGATGAGGGATAGCTCTACGTGTGCCAGATGTGCCCGCTGTTGAACACTTTTCAAGTTAAATACAATCCTAACAACGTCAGGACATTTTATAACGCAAGCTTAATTTAAATAATAATAAAAAAGTCGAAAAAAGCGAAGTTTCTTCTTTCTGAGTCTGATAAACTCTTTGCAGTTTTCTTGTTATCTTCCTTCTTGCAAACTGTTTCCAACATTTCCGCGAAAGATAGTGAACTCGGAGGATGCGTAACTTACTGATACATTATCCTTGTTTAGTTGAATTTAATCCGCAGGAAAACCGACTGAAAATTGCTCGAAGAACCTTTTCACGTTTTCACGATAGCGGTAATTCAAAGATCATAACAATAGCCTACACATTCTGAAATGTCGATCGTACATCCTACGAATTAAGAAGTAACTACTGGGGAGAAAAACCTCAGTTTTACTAAAAACACGTAGCAATTCCTGTGCGTCGAAACGCCCAGCTATCGAGAAACTCTCAAGGAAGTATGAAGCCGCTCGGGATTTTTTTATTTTACTTCCCTTTTTTTTCCTATCAAGTACTCTAACTATTTGCGTATTCACGTGCAAGAAGTTTCTATAGTTTGACGAAGTTTGTAACGATTTCAAATGAACGCACGAAGGAATGGGAGCGATTCTACGCTGTGGGGCTGGCTGCGGACGGTAGATCTTTGGAAAACTCCCGCTAGTTACGACAGTTTGTTGGCGCGCAACTTCCCTACTAATATCGACAAGGTTGCGTCCGAGGGAGTTGGTAACTTTAGTGTAACTTTCCACCGTCCGTTGCCACCCACTCACTTGTTGCCCCCCTTGTGTGCACGCGGGGGCAGGGTAAGAGAGTGCGATGGGCGAGCTATCATTAGCTCGGCATAATGCGACTATGCGGTTGCCTTTTGTGCTCGCTCTCCGCTCTCGTGCCGCGCGCGCACACAGTTTCGCCGATTCTCTCTCAAAGGAAAACAAGATCATGAACTCTCCCGTATATTTCGCTGTTGCGAAATGACATAACTCTTCTTGTCGGGCTGCGCCAGTGAATATCCGGACGCCAGTCAACAGTCTCTAAATACCTGTCCCTCTATGCTTATATTAACCCCGTTGTACTCTTGATACCTAAAACTGGATTGGCTCTCAAAAATGTTTGTACAAAATCTAGTATCAATTATTATACACACGGTTATTTCGTCCGTTTTAATATCCTTCTTCTATTAATTGTACATAGCGTATTTCCCACATAAAGTTACAATTCTTCAAAGAATTGAAGTTTAATTGTGATGAAAAATTGAATTCTTTAATAATGTTATTATAATTTTGTCTTACATTTGAGAATAAAGAATTTCGCGATATTAGGCAAGGAGAGAAAAAGAGAGAAAGATAAGGAATCCATAAGGCGCTTTTCTTTAGAAAGTGCACTTTTATAGGAGAAAAGACGTAAGCTTCTCTACTTCTTTATCAACTATAAGTACAATGCGCGACGCGATACACCGGAATAATAAATATAACAATAAACTGATTTGATGACACAGGCCGTTCTTCAAGCTCTGCATTGATAAATAAATATGATATAAATATTGGATAAGCAGTATATATACATAGAATATCTCGATGAAATTTTATTTCTGCCTTCTGCTTATAACAGTATTCATGTATTATAAAAAAATACATTTCCCTGTTTCCTTTTTCCTTTCTTCGATAAATATATAATCCTTCCTCGCGGAAGAGCTTATATATACGTCGCGCTTGTTTTTGTTATCCCCACACATCTAAAACTACGTGTCACTGTCCACATATTGGTTAAAGATTAGTCATCATTGGCCGTGAACAGGCAATGCAGAATTTACATTTAAAATAGAGACACAGCTAAATCGATTCGCAATATTCATTTGCGATAAAATCCACCTTAAAGTTAATTAAAAAGAACACTTTGTCGAGACATTAAATTTTGGTTGTTTTTATAAATAACTTTTAAATACAAAATAATTGACTTTAAGTTCGCTCGAGAAACCATAATCGAAACTGTCAAGTTACTCAATACCTATGTAGTTGGTTTGAAACAATCTATATATATGTGTATATATATATATATACCGTGCAATCCCCCTTGAGAACTTATTACGTTTAAAATATCAAATATCGCCAGATTTTCTTCATTTATCTCGTCCTTCTTTTCTTTCCTTTTAGATTCATTAACGAAAAAGACATCGCGTTATTGTGAAGCGCGCTTGGGAAATGATATCTTTATAATTTTTGCGGGAAAAAGTGGAGCGTAACTGAATATTATCCGATCCTTAAATTGAGAGAGCGTCATTAAAAAAATTCAACGTGAATATTATACGATCCTTCACATTACTTTCCTCCTTTTACATTGCGACAATTTTATTACGCAAATGGCGTAATTTTATTACCAATCTGCTGATCAAATTTACGTCGGAATTACGATCAAATTGACACATTGGATCTATGAAACTGGTTTCGAGACATTACGAGGGAAAGCGATCTAAAGAAATTGTGATACTTTTACAATCAAATTGAAATGAATTGCTGCGAGAGGAAAGAAATTTTTAACGGAAACTAAATTTTTTACGCGTAATCAAAGTAATAAAAGGAAAATGTTAATTAACTGTTGTTACAGTTAATTACTTCTTTCGCTATATACGATGTAATTCCAGCGCCCTGAGGGAAAAGTATTTAAACTATTAAATAAATCTCGTGATAAAACTTGTCGGGTCCGCTTTATCATAGCGCGAATTCGCCCGTGAAAGAGTTCGGCGCTACATTTTCACGCGGTGTTACGATTTAGTGTGAAAATATCGTACATTATTGCATTCTAGAATCCTCCAACTCCATGAAATCTTTTGACACTTGAATTTTCGGATTCTTGAAATTCTTCCAAGTTCTCCCTCCAGATTCCCATACACTTCAAGATTTTTCAATTCAAAGAACCGTGAATTTCCAAACACACAATCAAGCGCGAAACGAAGATGACGGTATTTCGAGCTGCAGCGCGGGCCGTCCTTAATCCGCGGAATAGTAATGTGTGTACGTTCATAATGTAAGTGGCACTTACATTACGCAGCAATTCTCGCAGAGATTTTCATCTTACGTACAATCTTTCGATACGACGTAGTTAAAGATTGATGAGCTCGCCGTAATATTTCGATGATATAGGACCGATCGTATTCCGCCATATTTCCAATAATGAAAATGTGAAATTATTCATTACATTTTCAATCCGATGTTAACATCATACAAATTCAGATTCCCATCTGTATTTATAATTCGAGCATTTTGCACGACAGATTAAGCGTTGGAGATTTTTCATTACGTGTTTCGGCAATGTAAACAGATTTGATTTCGACAACGTCAAGTGTAATTAAAATTTGAAATCGTTACGGGGGACGCACGCGCGATAGCCCGATAAGCGACGAAACATATACACGGCAAATGTACGATACTAACGGTATAAGAATTGGTTACAAAAGACCCCGTCGCACATAAACATCACAATTTATCAACGAGGGGAACTAAGTTAATCGCACACGTTTGATATAACGAAAAGAATCCGCACTCACTTGAAGAAGTAGGTGTCGTTGGTGTATCCGAAGAAGGGTACGGTGTAGGTCAGCATCCAGATATTGCCACCCCCGCAGTCGTAATACGGTTTCGACCATCTGCCATCCTCGTATTTCACTGTCAAGATTTCGTCCTCTTCCCTTTCCGTGTGCGCGCTTTCGTTCAGTGTATAGGTGTGGAATCCTGGAACAGAGCGACAGAGAGAGAAATCATTAAATAGGTCGGGGAGGTCTATTCTTCCCCCGAAATTTAATTAAAGGATCTCTATATCCTAATGGCGACTTAATTAGTATGTATAATTGGTCCACTTCTAATTTAATATACATAAAACAATTATATATTTTTTTCTTAATGTGTTAATATTAATTGCCTACGCAAATTAATCAATATCGCATCAGCATTAAAAATTTAATTATAACATATTTAATCAAAAATTAACCGCACTGTCCGGATTGAAATTGTATTTCAATCCGGACATTCCTCTAATTGTATTAATTATTATTAATCTTGATAGCTATATTCGATATAGTAATTACATGTTATTTATCTGATTATTTGGAGAATATAAAAAAATATCTTTTAACGCTAGGAAATATAAATGTGCATGTGTGTTTTCTTTTGGCGACATTATTTGTTTTCATGTAACAATGTTGTAATTTTCCATAAACCGTTTTATTTCACGTAAATTACCTTCAGACTCCGCTTTTTCTTCAGTGTAACTAAATTAATTTTCTCAAAACTATTTTTCCTTTATCTCTGCTCTCGCGACCGTTTGCTGAGACAACGTGTTTCCAGAGGTTAATCTCCAGAAATTCAACGATCTCTCCAGACGCCCGGCCCTCAGTGGAAATCCACTGTGTAAGGTCTCCGAGTGAGGTCCCCGGTAATTCAAGGATCTAACAATAAGAGCCTTGCACGTGTATCCCCAGTATGTGCGGCGTGCTGCAGACTGCGAGAGAGAGAGAGTATTAAGGATTCGTATAAATGTACGAGGTGAAGCGGAAGGAGGTGCCGCGAGGAATCGTCCCAAGTTCTCCCGGGTAGATAAAGGAAACGAGCTTCGCCGTATCTGTTTTTCCGTCGACTTGCTACTCGCTCTTCCACCGCCTTGCTACTTCTCGCCACCGGTATTGGCCGCGACGCCGTTTTCTCACCACATGAAGAAATTGCTGAGCTTTATCGGTCATGATTCGCCTGAATGTGAGAAGCGTTATTTGCCCAATTTTCCTCATACCGCATCGCCGAGATAATCGACGCCGCGGCGTTTCCAGTATTGTCGTTCATGTAACACAGCACACGCCACTGTATATCCGTATTTTTTCATATAAATGTTTCATATAAATTTTTTCGTATAAATGTAACTTTTCTTTCCGAGATAGTAACATCTCACGGATTCACAAGCTCTCAGGTACTCTCAGATTATATTAAGAGCAACGGAACTTGCTATCGTGGCGAACGGTAATAAAATTATGCAGCCTCGTAAATATTTATCAGAGCGGCTAGCATATATAGTTAAACCGGCAGGAATTAGAGCTGCCTTACGTTAAATCTTCACGTTTTTCTAAGCTATAATTATTCATAAATTTCAAATTGATGCTGTCACAGTTATAATTATTACTGACAGCTGCATTAATTTGAAATATATGTATGTATCATATATGTACGTACATAAGTGTATATACATATGTGTATGTGTATATACAGGTGGGATATTTAAAGTGTTTCAAGCTATGCAACTACACATCTTTTTTAAAAAGCGATTATGCATTTTTTTACATCAACTGATTTATCTCATTATTCTGTGTATAAAAGTATTAACATATGTTTATGAAAATATCTTACGAGATATTTTAAATTTAACGTCAAAATATGCCAGAATAAAATGTAAAATATCTCGTAAACTATTGATTTTTCTTTATCTCTACTTTATATGCAGAATAACTAAAAAATCATATCATTCCGTTTAAGAAAAATGATGGCTTTAATGTGATAAAAAATTGATTTTATCATTATTTGTCCCCTTTCAGATTATATATCTTTTGTTTGAAACATATTTTGCTATGACGCATACTTTCAGGGATAATTTCATTGCGATATTTAAATGTCTCACTCTGAATATCTAAAAAATGTTAATTTTTGACTTGTGTCACTTTTCTATCAACACAACGATATACATATATACATATATGTATATATCGCCACGTTGCGTTGATAGAAAAGTGACACGAATAAAAAATTAACTTAAATTATTTTTGATATAATAAAAAGGAATTAATCCTAAAATAAAGACTTTAAGATTAATGTCTTTTTATTTATTTAAAAAATGCAAATTTTTTTTACTTGTATCTCATTTCACGCGGTGGACAATAGAGTTAGTAAGAGCCGTTTAATTTCATATTATATTTATTATATTTATTATTATATTAGGTCTATCTTTGTTAGTTAACGAGATAAAATGGGTGACCATTTATACGAGGACACCCTGTATACGATGTATCTTTTAAGAAATTTATTTGAGAATTGTTGCGTTATATTACAAAGAAAGAAATAAGGGAAAAGAAGAAGAGTTAATATTATTATTACAATTACGTATAACAATATTACGTCGTTATACGAATGTGAGAAACAAGAATATTTCTCGCGTTGCTTTTCTCATATATTCATTTTAACGCATTCATATATTTCATATATTTTTTTTCATATATTTAACGCTTCATATATTTATTTAACGCAACCTGCTCGCGTTTTATCTAACTCGACTGTCCACATTGAGAGAGCGAGAGCGAGAGAGAGAGAGAGAGAGAGAGAGAGAGGGGGGGGGGGGGGACGGGAAGAGGAGATACCCGCATTTTATGATCCGCGTATGCAACACCCGAAACAAGATAAAGATATATGACCGGCGTGTTGTGTCAACATTTAAAATATCGTAAAAATATGACAGACGACATACTGTTTAGGAAGCATAAAATAGAAACTATTCGCCGCGCGTACACTTGTTTAAGTAAGATCGTGATAAAACGACAAGTGAATCTTACTGAAATAAAATAACCGCGAGAAGCGTATGAAGATAACCGAGCGGAGAAGTGCCCTTAATTAAGACGGTCTTAATCAAGGCGCGTTTTTATTCTTGAAGCGAAAAATTGGAAGGGAAGCTCTGATACGACGCCAAGTCGACGTAACGCGTGCTCTCTCCTCGTTCTTTTTTTTGCTCTACCATTTCTCGTCCCTTACTTCTCATTTCTTTCCCTCATTCCCGTTCTACCTTCAAGATCAAAATCCCAGCTTGATTTATCCGACGGTAATTCCTCCTTTTAACACAGACGTTCCCGCTGAAACCTGTTTAGGAAATGTGCATGCTATTAACCGCCGTAGCGACGGTGACGATCTCTCGTTCGGATTCTTAAATACTCGTGAATTTTTAACCTTTAAGTTATCTCAACAGCAGTTAAAAATACTTGTTTTCAAGCAGTTAAACAAAATTTATTTCGCAAACTCGTTAAAGAGTTCTATCGATAAAGTACTTTCGGGCAATGATAAGATATCCTGCAGCTTCCCCTTCATTTAACTTCGACAAATTGAAGAAACGTGACAATAAACGAATTTAGATGATTAAATTTATTTTAAATTTTATTTTACCTTTCATCTCTTGTACACTTCCGGGACAAAAATCCTCGAAAAATTCGTAGAATTTAATCAATATATTTCTGCGGGAACACACGCGCGCGTTATTGGGGACTAGAATTCTTACTCTCTGATCACTGAAAGGATTCAAAGGAGATCGAACGTCGTCGCAAAGGGCGACGAGCAAAAACACCAAAAGATTTACTGACGTAGAAAAATATTCAATTTGATTTCAGGTCAGCTCCAGAGCCATTAAAGTCGGCAAAGACCGGCAAAGATGGAAAAAGCAGAAGGGAAGTATTTTAAAGGAGCATCCAGGGAATGAGAGTTGGAATTAAATAAATAAAAATCTTTTACAGTGTATGTTACTCCAGATTGAATCACTTACTTTATTTCCTTCATGTCTCTTTACGATGTTAGCAATTCTATACCGCATTTCTTTGAGCATTTCATAAAATGCACGCGCGATATGCGCGAAACATACGTTATATCTTGTAACATTTTCCTTCAATATTCCGTTGGCAAAAAATAGCTGATTGATGGTGGAGTACGTTACTGCAGGTCTTACTGGGTCGCATTACCACCTACTCCCTTTTTTACTTTCTTTTCCCTTTTTTAATTCCATATCTTTGACTTAGATCCGCGTCTGTGAGCCCTGAATTTGTTACATGCCAAGATATTCGATTCTTAACATATTTACGAACTTGGAGCTTTTGAATTTGACGTTCTTGGAGCGTTTCTCGCAAGCTTGACTCCTTGGAATCTTGAATTTCCGATTTATACTTTTACTGTTGAACTCTTGTACTTTATAAATGTCTAACGTTTCGCAAATTTCGAAATCAACAAGATCTTCAGGTATAAACATAAAATTCGTAATTAAATATTACAGCAGTGATATACGAAGACAGAAATGCACCATTTTCATTATACGTATAAGGGAATAATCTTTAAATTGCTCGAAGAGCTCGAGCTACGAACAGAGCTAAAAAAATGCCTTATAATCTTTTAGACAGACTATAGACCAAACGTTTATATCGTTCGATCCATTCGTCTTAGCCATTGCAATAATAATTCGCTCGTTATCGACGTGGTGAACGGCGCCGATATTTCGCAGAAACTTGAGAAACGTGTCAGTTGAGTACATTCGAATCGTACTTAAAACTTTTTTTCTGAAAAAGCTCTGTTTTTCGTCGAGGCTTTTATTTTATATCACCGGTAACGCAATAAGACATTTTTACTTCCACATTTTACTAATAACACTATATTCACACGTATATTGCTGTCACAGTAGCAGCAATTAAAATTTAAAAGCTGCATTTTACTTTAACGTAGAATACACGCCGCATTATATACGTATTTGTTACAATTTCGCCAAAATTGCCTATTTATATTTCATGTGTTCAACGCGTGCATGTAAAACGTTGCGTTCAGGAATTTAAAAGAGCGCGCAATATCCACGTGATATGAGCTATAACGTATTACGGGAATATAAAAGTAGTATAACTGCTATTGTAACAACTGCAGTAATAGTAATAATAATAGTAAGTATTACGTATTATTTG